CGGCGAAAATCTCGAAGCAGGTGACAGTGAAAAAGTTCGAGCGACCATTTGGATCGTAATACGCGGTAATGCCGGTACTTAGCGGAGTATAAATAAGCGTTAAATCCGTGCTTAGGTGCCTTAATCTGTATTTTTTTCCCCGAGATGCTTGCCGGAATATATTATCACCCGAGGGACCTTATCGCGGATGGCGATAATGGCGCTAACGCGCGCATATATATATGTATATATGTATATATATATATATATATGTGTATGTACATACCACTACGACACGCGGTGTTGCTTTTGTGCCGCGCCTATGGTGATTTGAAGAAAATGACCAAAAATGACCGCGAGGTATACACGTTGCACCAGTCAGGCATGCACGGCGCGATTGCGCGATTTCTCTCGCGCGCGATTACCGTATCGCAGCCTATAGAGAAATAAGTGCAACTAAGTAACGGACGGGGGGGAAAAAATGATATAGAAATAACCGGATAGAAAAAACCGGAATAAAGCGGCTCGCGCGCAATTAAAAAGCAAAGATTATTATACTTATTCCTATACGCAACTCCCGGGGTATGTATGGAAGATGTTTTAATCTACCACAAGTCGGATACATTTTTATCTAAATTAATTGCAGATATTTAATTAAGTACACACACACAACAAAGATTTCTTTTGCCGGTAAAATTATTTCTTGGAAATATTTATTGTTAGAAAGAAACAAATAGGATGGCTAAAAATTGAATAGAAACGTTTTATGTTGTATTTTCTAATATATTTTGGTATTATATATAATTTAAGATTGACTTAAATATGACAAAAAAAATTTGGAAAATATATTTTTTCGATAATTTACTATTTTGACTTTTTTATACGCAAGATGAGAAAATTAATTGATATAAAGATCGAAAAGTATTTCTGTTGCCATCTACCCTATATTTATCTTCGAGTCACTACTTTTTTCTTCAACTAATATTTTTTAAGTAACATACAACTTTTCAATTTCTTCAAGCAAAACTTTACGCGAATTCTGTCAATATAATTTTTAAAAATATTTCAAATTAGATAAAATATATACGAGATAGATCTTAATCGATAAAATAGGTAACCTCGCAAGTGATAATCTGCAGTTATTATCTGTTGTGATCATCAAAGCATTTAGATATGTCGATAATCGGAAACCGTCGATAGGTTATCAAGTGTTTGATTTCTATCTGCAATTGCCATTCTAATATAATATAATTGTTTAATTATTACTATTCAAGATCGCAAGCGAGCTTTCAAGTCGACGATTTATTATCTCCTTTCCAGAAATATAATATAATTAATACAAATTGAATACTGCATATAGGATATAATAAATATATCAATTGTAAGAAAAAAAAAAATTAAATTAATAAATAAATTAATAATTAATTTATTAATTTTATAAATTAATAAATATTAATTAATTAATTATTTTATTTATTAATTATATATAAATTAATTTTCCAAAAGGTGCAGATTGCAATACCGACCGGCTTCCCTGTTTTTCCTACGAGGCGCGCGGTGTGGCCTTGTGACTTCCAGTTTCCCTCGCGCGTCACCGGGCGGCGGTAAACAACGAGGACGCCCGAGAGAAGATGGCAAGCAGGAACGAGGGTGTCGCGTGCTAAAAACCGACGGGACGCGATACGACGAACTTTTGGACGCCGGTGAGAACGGTGGTGCGGTCACGGTCTCCCGGCGACGGTGTCGAGGTCGTGCGAGCGCGCGCGCGCGCGCTTGCGATCCGCGATCGGGGGTGCGGCGATTTCGAACGGTGGATTCCTACGTCGCCTCTCACCTCCTCTCACGCTCTCACAGTAGGATCGGTACGCGCGCCGCGCCGGTTGACGATGTGAGCCGCGCATACACACGCGAACGCGGCTAGAGCAGCGCAGCGCGGCGAGGTCGGGGCGGGGGCGGAGGGGGGAAAGGGCGCTCCAGCTCGGCGAACGGAACAGCCGGCGGCAGCGAGTTATCTTTCTCTCTCTGTCACTCTGTCCCTCCTCGGCTCCGACGAGGCCGACGATGTCAAACATGCGGCGTCGAATTTTGCGCGCCAGCAACGCAACGACGACGACGACGGCGGCGGCAACGGCGACGACGACGACGACGACGAGGAAGTCGAAGAGAACGACAACCACGAATCGACGACGGCGCACCACGGCCGTGCTCCACTGCTTCCACTGTCAGTGAAACTAACACACGTAACACACACACACATACATACACACACGCACACGTACACATACAGACGCACGCGTATACGCAACATACGCACGCACGCACGCACGCACCGGTACGCGGTTGCCGATGAGCGTGGATATATGGCGGCGCGAGTACTGTTGCTGAGCGTCTTGATCACGGAAGTGCTGAAACCAGCTTGCGTCGCAGGTGCGTGACCCGTTCCTCGTGTACCTATTCACGCCTTTACCTTCAGTGACGTTTCCTCGCGAGGAGATCGGGACACCCGGTGTCCCCGCGTACCCGCGAGTTCGCGAGGGGGGCGACGATGTTACTGGTTTATTACGACGCACATGGGCCCAGTACGACGTCGTCCCCATCGTGACGTTTCTCGCCTCTTTGTACGTACATCCTCGACCGTGGTGCATGAATTGTCATAAATTACCCTCCCTGATGACGAGGCGGAGAGAGATGCGCGCAGCTAGCGTTATCACAGAGAGAAACCTGATATTGTTTTCGCGCGATAGGCGTTTTATATGGCAAACGTCGCGAAGATCTCGTGTCTCTTTTCGTGCACACGCTTGTTTTTCGACCTGAAAATTATCTCTCCCGTGTTCCTAATCAAATATACGCGCATTCTTCTTTGAGCAGTGAGTTTTCGTGTTCTCATAACTCGTTTCCAAAACACAACTGAAAATGTCCAATAAATGACTAAATAACCATAAGTGTAAAAATATTTGCCAGAAATTAAGGACAATACTACAAATTTTGTAGCTTTACTACAAAATTTAAAACATATATTTATGGTATGATAGACCGGTTACAATATTATCTATGTAAATGTATACTCGACTGCTCAAAGAGTTATTAAAATTTCCATGGAACCAATATGGGTGATGCAATATCTCTGATTGGTCATCACTGGAAAGTTTAAAAATTTTGAAAGTTTTTTTAAAGAAAAAAATTCAATATATTGCCTATTTATTTATGAATATTATTGGATGGGATTCCCAAAATGTTGAAATATTTGTATTCTGTATAAAGGTAAATTGTGAACTGCCTGTTCGGCAGGTGTTAAAGGTATCGGAGGAAATATCAGTGGTAGGAACGTGTCCAGGTCGGACAGTTCTGACACTGGTCTGATTAAGGGATCTGGATTGACGCTGGAAATTCAACCTAGTGGCCATGTGATACTAGGGAAAAAGGGGATCACGCTCAGTTGCATAGCTGGCTCAAACTTGGAGAATGTGACTTGGCTGCACAATGGAAAAGCAGTTCCGTGTAATCTTACTCGCTGTGTTCCTCTTTCCAATGGCTCTCTTCTCTTCCTTAAAGTATGTACCTGTGTTACGGTTTTATCGTTGCAAAGTTATAATGTAATATACCTTAGAAATTGTATAACACGTTGATGTATTGTGCGCAGAAACAAAATTTACAAATGCAAAAGTTCAAAGAAAAGGACAGGAATATTATTGTTAATGCTAGAGACACTAATAGAGATGAATATCGCTGTGTAGCAAATACTAGTTTAGGAGGGTCGATACGGTCAGCTCCCACCATTATTCAAATAGCAGGTAAATGTGCGACATTTTCGACAAATCTATGGACACAATGGTCCTGTCTTTCGAAAATTTCGAAATCTAGAAATTGGATTTGCCATTATTGTAACGAGTTATGTCACACGTTGCAGAACTTGCCCATGTATTTAAAGAAGCTCCAGAAAATATTACTGTTCAAGAAGGCGAAGTCGCGAGATTGTCCTGCTTGATTGACAGTGTTCCTTTCCCACCCAACATTACGTGGCAGCATAATGAAACATTGTTATCTTATCATAATGAATCAAAGTATTCTGTGGTACCACCAGGTGTTCTGTATATAAGTGCAACGAAACTGTCAGATGCGGGCTCATATAGGTATAATATGATCCTTTTTTTTTTATTTCTTACTAATATTTTTCTATACATTGCAAGGCTAATTTGGGCTAAATTGCTACGTTCCAGATGCATAGTCACAAATGAATTTCTAAAGAAGACCAAAAGGAGCAAAGAAACAAAATTAACGGTTATCGCGAGAGCGGAAAATAACAAAACAACGCATACGCCCTCATCCTTGTTTCCACAGGTTTCGTACAATCATTGGCTGCTTAATGGGTCGAATCTTAATTTAACGTGTGCTGCATCAGGTTATCCATCACCACTCGTAACATGGTCATTTATTCCTCGTTACATAGGTAAGAGATTTGTAGGGCAGGATACACGTTTAGTTAGTTGAGAAAATTGAATTACATTCGCGATCGTATTCATTTGTAGATAATGTTACAAAACCTCGCAACCTCCTTAATTCCACCACTGGCATTAGTGTACTGTCATTAACGAACGTGAACGTTTCCAATGCTGGTGTTTACCTGTGTTCTTCAAAGAATTCTATTACCAATGTCTTAGAAGTACAGGTAGGTAGATTACTTTCGATGAAATGCAATTGATATTTACGACGAATGAATTTTAACATATTTATACATCTCGTGTAAATTATTGCAGAACATAACTTTAGATATATTAATACCACCGTCATTTATAAAAACGCCGACGAACCAAATCTGTCCAAATGGAAGAACGGCGAGATTCGAGTGTCAGGCGCAAGGATTACCCGTACCTCAAATTTATTGGCTGAAAGATTCGGAGAATATTACTATCAATGGTAATGATATTCAGGACAGATTAGGATTTGTCTCCAGGAACAGCACGTCTCCATGTTCATTTACTTTTACGATTAACTGTGCATTCTGTATATCGATAGGTCGCAGAACAACTTACGTTAAGGAATACAATAAAATAGAATTAGCAATATCAGCAACAGTGCCGAATGACACTGGCATATACCAATGTGTGGCGGTGAACGCAGCAGGTGAAATTTGGGCCGCTGGCCGGCTCCAAGTAAACACGTCGCGCAATAGCCCTGCTGCACCCACCTCTCTAAAGTGTCACGCTATTTCGCCATTTAAAATCTTAATTTCGTGGGAACCACCAAAGTCTGTACCACTTACCAGTATTACAGCTTATACCGTCCATTATAGTCCTGTAGGTGAGTATTCGATGGTATCTTGTGTTGAGTATAAAAACCGATCTCTCTCTTAATTTAAATTAACCAATTAATTTAAATTTCGATAAATATTTTTTCTTTATGGCTGTGCTTTAAACTTTAATTAGTACGTCCATTGTTTTCTTGCGAATCGGCTAGAGCAAAAAAATCAGGATTAGGGCAATTAGTAAATAAATAGTGGATAATTTTTATATAAGTCGCATTTGATTTGTGCTAAAGTAGCTGTGAGATCTTGATAGACGTAATTTTTACTTTTTGTTATCAGCACGGCACTCGACGGAAATGTGTCGTGCTGATAATTTTCGATACTTCTGGCGATAGTTCTCGCTTGTTCCGATTTCAATTTCTATGGGATACAACGTTTGATATACATATATCATCTCTGTTAACAGAAGGTGGTAAGGAAGAAATTTCGCCGCCAGAACCAGGGAATTCTACGTCTGTAGAAATAACAAAACTTCTTGAACCATATACAAATTACTCGTTTTACGTACGAGTGTGGAATAATTATGCTGCCAGCGATCAATCGGCTACCATTGTGTGTTCCACCGCTCCAAGTGGTACATATTTCTGTCTTTATTTTTATTAACTTTATGTGGTAACAAAATATGTATAACTTTGCTTAACTCGAGATGATGATTTTGTTTCCAGTTCCTAAAGGCACACCAAAAATAAATGTGGACATAATCAGTAGTACAAAACTAAATATATCGTGGGAGCCCTTGAGTAGTAAGGAATCTCGCGGCGTCATAGTGGACTATAAGCTATTGTGGAAACCTCACCAGAGTTCCTCTAGAAGGGTGGAGTATATACCGGCATCTACAGAATATCACATACTTCCTGGTATGATTTTTATCTACTCTTTTTTTCTCTGAGCTTTACGAAAGCAATAGCCATGTATAATCATGTATTACGGATGCAGGCCTGAAACCTGGAGCACAATACGATATTCGAGTATTGGCAAGAACGAAACTGGGCGATCCGATTATTAGCGAATCACAGTTGGACTGGGTTACTGTAACCATGCCATCTTCTGAATCCAATCAATTCACTATAAGGAACGTTGTAGACATTCAAATATTAATTGTAAACGCTTCATTAGCCAAGGTTAGTGCATCATCGATTAAATTGTTAAAAATTTTTATGGTTTTCCGAATTGCTTTATAAACTTTACTCTTTGATGCTTATATTAGATGAAATGGAACATCAACTTCAAGCAAAACGATCAAATTGAATCAAAGTTCGATTCCTGGCAAATTTATTGCGAAAATCAAAATGGCGAGAAGTTAACGGATATTATTAATTTACCGCAGAATATTACTGAATACCTGTTAACTGATCTTGGTAGGTATTCCGCATTTAATTTGATGGCACTTTTTAACTATTTCGTTATTCAAGTTGAAAGTACAATAATCAATTTTTATTTAGATATGAATAACGATGATTCTTATACTGTGCATTTATGCATGGTGAGCTCGGGTGAAGCAACAGGTTGCTTGACAAAACATGTAGAGACCGTCAAATCCGATCCTAGTAAGTTTACTAGATTTTCATAGGCTATATTTGCATTGAATAAAAGAATAGGCAATTTTTTTATATCATAATCTTGTAATTTAGATACTGTGCCAATGGCATTGGAGGCTACTCCCGTTTCGCCCACGTCCATTAATGTGTCCTGGACGTTGTCCGATGTGCACGATGTAAATTCGTTTGAATTTTGTTATCATGCGGTGCATGTGCAAAATTCTAACGATTCTAAATGTTCTATCATGTAAGTACAGTCCGATTTTCTAAAGTAAACATAATTGAATTGTACTAAATATATCCACTTCGACGAAAGTTTGTAAATCCTTGTAAAATATGTATTTTAGAAACGACACGAAAACGAATGTTGACGAGCTGAAGCCTTTTACTTTATATGAGTTTAAAGTAAAAGCCATTGTGCCTGATGCAAATCTGACCAGTTTCTACAGCAAGTCTATAGAATGCTACACAAACGAAGATGGTAAGAACAGTTGCTATATCTAATAGAACAACAATACATGTGTTTTTTTATATGGGATATTATAAATTGCAAAAATGGAAATGTTATAGTTCCTGGTGAAGTCGAAGGGTTACAATGGTTTTTGGAGAACAACACGAAAGTACGAGTTGCATGGGAGGAACCGAGCAGCATAAACGGCAATATACAGAATTACGTTGTCGCGTATACCATGGACTTGGCGACGGCATGGACTAACGTGACCGTGTCCGGTAATAAGAGGACGACGAATCTACCAGGCTTAGCACCGGGGAAACGATATTTCGTTGTGGTGCGAGCAGCGACGAAAGCCGGCTATGGGAAACCGTCAAGTCCTATTATTATTTTTACCGGCGGCACTAGTTCCACTGGTAATAATGGCGGCGGTGGTGGTGGTGGTGGTGGAACATCAAAAGTACCTGCCCCGTCGGGTAATGAGAAAAACTCTAAGCCCGATCAGAGTCTAGGTAAGAAAGACTGGGATAGACTTAAATTCAGATAACCTTTATATCTTTGGCGTGCTAACCGTTATTAACTGTCATCGTGATTGCGAAAAAATAGGTGTGATCCTCGGGGTGAGCATAAGCGTCGGATTTATCATGATATGCCTATGCAGTATATACTGCCGGAGGAAGTTTGAGAACTCACGGTTAAGGAACGAAGCTCAATCGACGAACGGATGCATGCTATCGCGAAACGGAAATAAATGTTGCGCGGAGCAGTCCAGTACGTCTACGGGTCAGCAAGCGAATGCCACCGGTGCCCCGAATGAGATTGAATTGGCAGTGCTGTGTCCATCGTCACCGGTTGAGACAAATCCGCACTCGGACGCAAAGGTAATCGAACGTCGTAGATTTTGTTAGATTGAACTTATGTATGTGAATCTTAACAAGGGAATACATGGTAGTGTGTTGTACAGGGTGCACAGTCTAACGGGGTTTTCGAAATTTGCGCGAAAGAACCCTTACTGTCGCCGTGGGAGGTAAATGGAGGCTCGAAGGATGTTCATATTATGGAGAATCCTCAGGTATCACCTTGAATTCTAACTAATTTCATTACAGACAATGGAGACACGTTATTCCTCAGTAATTTATCCATTCTTCGTGATTGCAGTACAAAAGGAGAGGCAGTTCCGCCTCGAATAATCAACGGGAGGAAGAGGAGGAGGAGGAGGAGGAGGAAGAGGAAGAAGAGGAAGAGGAGCAAGATCTAGAAGGCACGCAGCTCACAATGGTCAATTGTACTTTAGGCAGTAGTGCTAGCAGTTTAAACAACAATTCAGGATGTCCGGACGGCGAGGCTTCATCATCGCCGAAAGCCACGTGTGCATCTCTTGTTCCGGCGCTCGGACCAAATGGGTGAAAGTGCGTTAGGCAATACGCTAAAGTGTTCAACGCTTCTCAGCGGTATCAAGGTACAACAGGTAGGAGTGTATGAATTCTCCTATTTCCTCCTTCCTTACGATCAATACGCCATCGATCACCTTCCGAATCAATTGCGCGAGGGAAAGAAGATAGCGAGCGTCCAGCCCCGAGAAAGCGAAAGCAATGAAAAATTGCAACAGCCTCGCAAAGCAGGAATACTGTCTGACCCATGATCGATGTAAATAAGATTGTTTCGGAAGAAATCGTGTGGCGTTAATCGCGTCACTTTGTAAATACGAGCAAGATACATTTATCGCGCGGAGAACAAAGCTCGTCTGCATAAAGCGTCTCAGCAAAAGCAACTCAATTCTAAAATTCATTGCATTCTTTGCATGGTGCACTTGTAATATTACGGTACACTGATCGCGTAGACGATACTTGGAAGTGTTTGCCGAATTCGTGTAGGTACAAAATAATTTAAAGATAGATATTGTTTGAGGATCAAAAAATATTAAGTATTTTTTTAAGAGAATTTGTATATAGATATATTGTTAGAAATTTTTTATTTTAAAGTTTTGTAGAGGGATATTCATTATCAATTATTATATTAGCGAATATTGCTAGCGAAATTATTTTAATTTCAGTTCTCGATTCCCGATTACGATCATTTAGCAGTAAATGCAACGTTTTTGAACATAGGCTGTTGCTTCAAGAGTTTAAATTACCGCTCTTTACTTCGAACAATTCTGTACGTACACGAATTAAGTAAGCTATTAACGTGCCGAAAAAATTGAGAAATGTGCGAACAAAATGAACTCAAATGATAAAAAAAAAGAATAGCAAGTTTTCGATGCCTCTGTACATAGGATAGAATAATTGTTGATTGTGAATATGTCCATAAAATATCACACTTCGAGTACCGACAGCAAAAAGACATGCGGACGTGCATTCCTTCGCGTTTGGGGACACAAAATTGCTAAATTTCCGGGCACAGTATGGCCTAAAAGTTGATGAAGTTTTCATTCTGACAACAGTTTTCGGACTGACGATTGCTTAAAATGGAACAGAGAACACTGATCATTCCAAAATAAGTTTTCCATTGATATTTAATTGTAAATAAAAGAAGAACGTTTAGTATTAAGAAAACAGGGAAAGGCTCTAACCAGATGCTACGCGTTTTTTTAGAGATGTTAAGAAAATTTTTTATTCCGTGTTTTTTTCTCTTTTTCCTCTCTATTTTCTATTTTTCTTTTTATTTTAACGTACCGTATGTGTGTCATTAAGATATCACTTAAAAAAAAGAAAAAACATTGATTTCTCCAAGAAATCAAGATAAATTTTTTTTTGCATTTGGAGCTAGTATGCATGACAAACGGATTTGTTGAATAGCTTTTAAAATATTTGACGTAGGTTTTGCATTAGTTTAAAGTGGACTATCGATATATCATACTTTAAAATTTAAAAGGAGATCCTATGAATGGGAAGGAATTTTTTTTCAAAAAGATAAAATCATACTTTATTGCAATTCAAATGAATTTGCGCATTGGAATTCATTGCAATTCAAATGAATTGTGCGTAACAGGCCACCTTGTTTTCTCACAATTGTTTACTTCTGTGAGAGACCTCAAAGACTGCTTTATTGATAGACGATATTTTTTTATAATTAACATAACACACCTCGTCGGAGAATGTTTTTTACGTAACGTTACGTAAGAAAGAATTTTACATATTTTCCCCCTCCCCCATCCCCCCATCCCTAGGTTTCTTTCCGTTCATAAGATTAATATCGTTTTTAAGGCGATTATAGGTAATCAACGCGATTAATGTCAAAGTTTTGTATGTACGATATTTAGCGTGTTAACTGGTAAAGAAGCAGTTCTGTGTATTACACAAAAAAAAAAGAAAAGCCGCATTCGGGAACGAATCTACAAGACACATATTCCAGACTGGTGCATGTTACCATGACAGAGAAAAAAAACCCAACACAGTACCTGATAGAGTAAGCTATATCGTTTAGAGTGAGACGTAGAAATGTCAATGTTATTACTGTACCTCCACTAATTGTTATTTATTGCATTTTACATTCAGTATATATCTTTAGGTGAAACACATTACACTGGATCATGCAATAATATAGTCACCACCATGAGCACAGTATGAAAAACAATTTAACGCTAGAATTAATTCGCGATCTGCACGTACCTATATTAAAAAAAAGACTCATATCTTCATTCCATAGAATATTTCCATAGAATATTTCCGTAACGGAGTCTGTTAGCAAGTCTAATATATTGAGATTGTTCCAAAAGTTATAGTTTCGTTTTTTTATTCGAGGGACGAGTACTACACTGTTACATATTGCCGATATTTTGCTTAATACGGAGACATTTAGTTAACTAACTGTGCACCATGATTCTACTTATTCCGTTTATATTGAACTTTGCGAATCGCATTATACACACATCATACACACACACACACACACACACACATACATACAATAGCCCTATAATAGTTTTTACACACAGATCAGATACAGTTTCTACGAAATAGAAAGAATCGTTTTATTTACACATGAATACATGGAACTTGTTATATGTATTATAAATATAATTATGAGAGTCTCGTATATAGAATCGCATATACAATATTGAATTTATTATATTATCAAACAGTTCTTTCCTTCTTTTTCTTTTTCTTCCTTTTTTTTTGTGCAGCAACCTCTACTTGTTGCGAATGCGTTTGCATGCATTCGGTGCATCTGGCTTACGATTTTTATTTAACTAATCTGTTTTTGCATTTTGTTGTCATAATATAATGTGTAATGCCTGTTACAATTTATTATTATTTCCATATTTGTTGAGGGTATATGCGTTTATACGCTTTTTTTCATGTACTTTTCGTATTTGTTGACGGTATACTTTAGAAAAAAAAAAGATCATTTCTATAGCGTTGATAGCTAAACTGCCGTATAATAACGAGAGAAAGAGCAGGACACTGAATCGATTGTTCCTTTAGTTGGTCATTACGTTGTTAATATTATGCGTCAGGAAGGTACATTTTCACGTTATTATACGAACTCTCGCGCGCTTCGAAAGTTTATATATGTATGTCTGCAACGTACAATGAAAGCGCTTGGGTGAATAATTTGAGAGAGAGAGAGAGAGAGAGAGCTGTTAATTATATTTACAAAAAAATTATTCGAACATTGAAAAGAGAATTAAGTTTAGGAGAGCGTTGTGCGTTGTGTGACGTATAAGCAGTAAAAAGTATGCGAATGCGCTTTTTGAGTTATTTTACTTTCTTAGGGTTTGCGTCCACGATGTTAGAGTTGGAGTTTTGTTTGGAGTTTTTGGACAGAAATCTACATACTTGAATAAATATAGACAGCATTAAATCTGTATAATTTATGCTTCTATAATACCAACATTAAGATGCAGAACCAGCCATTTAAATTCAAACTTTCAAATATAGCGTGTATTTTCTCTGAAAATTTAAAAATTAATTTATTATTAATTGTTCTTTTGATACTTTAACGTTTAATCTCATTTGAAAAAACGAAATACTTGTGTAGGCAGTTTGGCAACTTCTCGTGGACGCAAGCCTTTGGATATGTAACCGGCAGTTGTATAAGTTTCATGAGATAATGAGTTTACGCTTATCAGAACGCTGTCCTCATCTCATTTCTTACATTTAGGTAGCGTAATGTACTATACTTCCCTTAGCAGTAACGTATGTTACTCCGATCACATGTACAATTCTGCTGCTGCATTCCCGTCTCCATATCCGCAGTATCAGTAACGGAATATTACCGTGTTACAAAGAGAGGAGAGAGAAAGAGGGTAGCCGCGGCGAGGGGCGAGCGAATCGCCAATCAGCAATCAGTAATATAATTGAAACGACAAACACTCCGTACACGCATACCATAGTGCTCTTGAATAATTTCGTGGATGTGATAAGTTTTACGTCGTGAACAATTGACTATAGAGTCGCCGTTCCGTTCAGGAGAGAGAGAGAGAGAGGGAGAGGGAGAGAAAGAGAGAGAAGTCGCGTTAACAGAGCGCGTCTTACGCGAAGCGGCTGCGGGCCGTCGCTCCTTCTGCGGAGAAGAACGACCTCGTGGCAGGGCTTTACGTGACCCGCGCATCCCGTATGTACAAAATCCACGAAGACAAACATTATTACCTTATAGTACATACAAAAGCAATAAGCATCGTCTCGCGTCTAGCGTTCTTCGTATTATTCCGCGAACGCGCGCGAACGTCGGAAATGACAAAGGATATCATATAGATCGTAATCTCTACTTATCTCACCATATTAACAAATATTCGCGCGCATTCATCGCATTTCATCAATCGTCATCAATTTACCGAACAAACCCACTGGGGAGAGACACGATACCGACGTCGTCGTGGGTCTCTTAACAATCAGCTACTCATACTCGCGCATTATTTTCACCGTCACACTTAATTTAGGAATATCTACAATACGGCAGCCAAAGAGAGGAACGTTTTAACGTCTTTTAAATCACACCTATACAAATGAAATCCGTGCAAGACTACTCCGTATATGATATACACACATTCCTTTCGTTACAGAGTACGATATAATTCATCAGACAGACTGTAGCGTTTAAATACACAAGTAGCAAATATCGATTGTATTGTACGGCGGCTCTAGTCGAACGAATATACCTCCGTAATTGTCACTCTGCACAGAGTGATTTACATTACTTAATTTTAACTTAACGTCGGTACCTATTAGACTATTGTTTACAATTTTTTTTTTTAAATGCCGTTTATCTCAAAGATTATATTTTCACGCCCGGTGGATGTATACGCACGCGCGTGTATACAATATACATATATATTATATGTTATATATACACATATATATGTATACACATATATTGCGTGCGTATAGCAGCATACGCAGTATATGTATATATATAAGTATAACCGAGACATTACACTTTATTTTACATCTAATATATACACAGGAGAAGAGAATCCAGTAATTTTATTCATTTATTACTATTATCGTTAATTATATCTAGTAATTATTATATATGTATTAAGAAGACTATTTATTTTCCGCCAGCCCTCATTTTCGCCCTTCTTTCCGATTTTTTAGATCTATTATCCCGATGCGACAATTTTATCCTTTTAGGGTGCAGTTACTTTGTACATACCTTTTACCTGCGATTGTATATACATATATTATATTACCTGCGAAGAACATTAAAGTATATATTTTAATATATTACGTATAATGAACTACATGAAAATTATAATCTTATTGTTTGAAGTATTAAGACTAAATACACTAAATATTTAATAATACTGTTGACCCTTCTTGAACACGTCGTCTTGTTGTAACCACTGATTCAATAAAATTAAGACAGTGTACAAATGCACATGCTTGGTGTAAGAAAAAAGAAAACTATGTCCCTTTCACAGCGCGAAGAACGTCTGGTGTTCGCAGGGTACAGGGTGAGTAAATGCGATTTCGTAAATGGAGCAACTTTATTATCAAAGTATCTGCAGCAACGCTGGCGTAACAACAGAACAGTGTAGTATACTTGCTAATATCTTTATGCGCCATTTAAGGCCAATAGAATATATAATTCTTTTCTTGTTTTATATTAAGTATATATGTGTGCGAAAGCGCACAGTTCATATATATATCTATCAATATGAACGCGACCGTTCATATATATATATAATATATCGATAAGGAATATCTTCTGTAGGAATATCTTCTAAACGCACCTTCTAACAGTGTTTGTACTTAATTTAATACAATCCTTTAGGTCGCACACACCCGAGAGTTTGTCGATAATAAAATTATGCGTGTAACAATTATTCAATAGAAAGACTTGATTCACAGCTTTAGTGTAGGAAGATGTACACCTTGGAATGTAGCAGTTATAAAAAGAATTCTTGTTATCTATCTAGCAATATAAGAAGTATATAGATTTTTCAACAATTTGATCGGTTCACAGTCTTGAAAAAATGGTATATAAAAAGCGCTCTTTTTTTACCAAACAATCTTCTAGAATGTTCATCGAAATTGATTCGCACACACACCGCGAATGCCTTAAAAGTTTAGGTATCCTTATACGCATACCTATCCTCCGTGTGTAAGAACAATGTTTCGAATCGCGTTCTTAAACGTCACTGTTTGACTAGCTATCTTTAAGGTGCGAAAGTGTTCTGCACTTGCAGAACTATGGTAAAATTAAGTACATTAATTGCTACTTTATATCACATTGGCAATAGGCCCGTCTACGAAATATTTAAATTTCATATATATATATATGTACTTTTCTAAAATCTCATTCACTGGCGTGTAAAACGTCAAGTAAAGATATATAACGTGTATAATAGAATATATATATAACTTGTATATAGAACCCTTCTAGGCACAAGGTGAAAACGGCGCTCAGCGTCCGTATTTATCTTGTAATTTGTAGCATCCTCGTGTAAAAGAGAATAATATTGATCGATATTCGAATTGGGCAGTCGGTATTGCTAAGTTCACAGGACCAAGGAATGCGGGAAGATCCTCATGCTCACGTAGTCATTAAGTACCTGCAAATTCGCGAACGCTCATCTTTATACATATACCGTATGCAAGTTTTCTCATCGAGAGACCGGCTTGTGAAAAACGAATGGCAGTTTACCTCTGTAAGAGCATCTTTCGTCAGTTTAGGGTACAGGTACGAGAATCCCGTGGCATTCGACAGTTTTCCGGGCTGTAAATACAAGTGCTTGTTGTAGAGAAGTTCTTGATCTATAAACGGGGACAGGGGACTCTTTTCCACTCCGTCCTTGCGACAAGCTTCCGCCCAAGGGGTCATGTGTTTGTCATTTACCTCGTCGACAACAGAGCTCATATCAGTCTATAAAGATAAAGAAAGTATGAAATTTTAATTAAGTTTTTTAATAAGTTAATTTTAATAAATTTTTTTTGGACATCGTAATGCACCAACTAAAAATCTCTATCAAACTATAAATATATATGAAACATGTTAAAAACAATGATATAAAATCCTGCATACTTTAGCCAGTGTAGATAGCGCGGTGCCCCAGTAGTCGTGATTGATATTAAACAATTCCGAGACTATGGCACTGATGGAGCCCTGAGTGGAATCTCCCTCGTCCACGAGATTATACGTCTGGCCTATCGTCTCTGGTCTGTTAGCCACGTGCCAGATAGCTCTGGCAACGTCCCTCACGTGAACCGTATTCATATGAAGGTTCGGTCCCCAGAGCAGTTTCATCATCTCTCCTAAATGCTTGTAAACTGCGCCCACGACCAACCTGGGTGCTGCAAATTGCCAAGGTATACTCTAGCTATTTTTTTTTCTTAAGTCATAAAAAGAAGGCTTCCTGGTAACCGGATAAACTGCGAGAGAAATTGTATATTTTAAGAATTTACTTAGGCCGTTCCTGTCGCCGCAACCATACACAACAGCCGGTCTAAGTATGGTGTATTTCAAGTCTGGTATGTTCTTCAATTCGTGTTCCACTTGTAACTTGTATTTTGCGACGAACGTCCACGGTTCTGCGGCGTCGTCTTCCTTGTGAGGAGTCTACGTGACATCGTACAATGATCAATTTCGAGTCAACAGTTTGCGTTAAAAGTGTACGTCGTTCGAAGAGGAATACCTTTTCCGAGGCATTAAAATTGCCAGAGGATATCTCCACGTAATGCAAGGCTTTGATCTTGGCTGCTTGCTGGGCGCAGTTCAGACTCAATTTGTAAATACCCTCTTTGTACACGGGATCCGTGAGGCTGCTCTTTGTCTCCCCGGCGCAATTGAACACATAATCGATAGGCTCGTCGGAGGAGAATGCACTTTGGCAGGACACTTCGATACAGATCAATAAAAATTATGCGTTTACAGATTACTGTCCATGTCATATTTTTTGTACTTTATGACAGACTTTATGAGATACGTGCGATAAATTAGTGCTTAATCTTACAATACAAACATAATAATAAATAAGAAAATAAGCGGAAAAGTCAACTATTTTTTTAACGAATATTAAAAACGCGAAGAAAATCTTTTCTCTTGAAATCTTAAAGTTGCAAATCTCTGCTCAACGGGACTCGGGGGTTCTCGAATGCGTCCTGATTGCGATTACCTATGTTAATCAAGTTGGAGCTCTTGAACTCGAGCAAAGGATGCTCAAACACCCGCTGGTGCTTCGCGTTGAGCCACGCGGTCTGCGGCGGCACCTTGTCGACGACCCGCACGTAGGATACCAGATCGTTATCCAACAGATACTCGACGAGATTGCGACCGATGAAACCGCATCCTGCAACCGCAAAAACGGATAAACGTTTCCCGGTCAGCCGTCGCCCCAGGAGTCTTATCGCTCTTCCGTTCCGGCACGTATATGAATCCGGCCGGCGCGTATATAAATATATGTATACCTCACCTCCTAGAACGATCACCCTCGCTTTCTTATCACAGGTGGGCGTTGCCATGATCGCTTATCATTTAATCACTCGACCGTTTTCGTTTCCTTCGCCGGTGCGCCGGTGCCTTTCGACGGAATGTTTCGCCACACGGTTCGCAGCTGGTCAATGGCACCTTGGACGCACCGCGTTCACGACCGGTCTCGTCACTGCCCAGCTAACCTAAAACACGCTGGCACTGTCCGTGTGACATCGGCCCCGAGAAAACTCGAAAGGGGTCGCGCCATTCGTTCAGGCGAAGTCCACGTGTATGATTACAGAGCAGAGGCTCTCTATATATGTATTGTATTACATACATTAATACATACAAGACGCCTGTACGTTACGACAAGTGTAACAAGAATTATATAAAAGTTATAAATTTTTCTAAATATATATATATTACACATAAGCTATATTAGATATATTAACATCCAATATATAATGATTACAGGATCGTTTTTGTACATTTACATTTACACAATCGTATTTTTACGTGACCAATTAATCGTTATTTTATTATCGACAGTGAAAAATGTATACATGTTAATTATTTTTCAATTTTTGCAACGTGAAAATTAAAAAATACGTGTATTCGTACAGCAAATGTGAAAATCGAAAAATTACCTGTAAACTTTTCACTGTCGAATAAAATAGTGATTGTTATCTCAGTACTGTCAAAATGATTGGTAGTGTCATTCTTCAATTATCTCCGGGCCTACTTAATTGACATTTACCAAAATTTACCTTTTGTCTTAATTGACTGGCCGTCTTTTTAATAA